CTTATCACGCTCGTGCAAATGGCATGCCTGAAAGGGCAGTTCAAGAAGCGAGAACGCTCATTAGGAAGTGTTCGTATAACAGCCCAGACTTCCATTTAGCCCTGCTTGAGTTGCGCAATACACCACGTGATGCTATTCTGATGTCACCTGTGCAGAGGCTGATGGGTCGTTAGACGAGAACACTGCTCCCGGTTCCCTCCTGCCTCCTGAAGCCATCACCATTGCCCAGCAGGAGGGTGCACTCCCGTCTCCAGGAGATTCATCACAAGCAGAAGGTCTATTACAATCGAGGTGACCGGGACCTGTGCGCCCTCTCACCCGGTCAGGGGGCCTCGTTGTACGACACGCACACACGGACGTGGTCACCGGTAGTTGTCCTTGGATCAGCTGGAGCTCCACGCTCCCTACTGGTAAAAACGAAACATGGCCGAGAAATCCGACGCACGCGGGAACATCTCCGGGAGGTTCCAAAGCTGCGATGCCCCGACACTACAACACCTTTCTCAGGCTCGCCAGGCTTGGGTCCTGTTCCAGAGCCACCACTACCATGAATAAGCACTCAGGAACTTCGCGAGCCTCGTTGGTGCCCCATGCCAGAGCGACCAATATTTCTCCAAGGAAAGGAAGATGTAGCCAAGTTGGCATGGCCGCGATAGCGAGCGCAAGCTGTCGCTCTTACGTAAGCATGACGTCACCCACCTGGCCTACTTTAACTCGTCACTATCGGCAATAAAGTTGTTGTTCGACCCATGCCCTCAGCTCGTACACCGGAACAAACGGGGGTTAAGGATATAATAGTTGAAATGAAGAGGAGAAAATGGACATGGGCAGAGCATGTAGCACGAAGACAGGACAATCGTTGGTCGATAACGGTAACTAACTGGATTCCCAGAGAAGGCAAAAGGGTTAGGGGGAGACAGAAGGTTAGGCGGGCAGATGAGATTAACAAGTTTGCCGGTATAAATTGGCAGCAGCAAGCACAGGACCGATTTAACTTGCAGAACGTTGGAGAGGCCTTTGTCCTGCAGCGAACTTCAGGCTGCTGCTCATGATGATTTTATGAATAACAAAATAATGAAAAAATAAGTGTTTGCGGAATACAATTCATTGAAGCGTAAATCAAGACAGCTGTAAAGTAGCACAGATCATCATCCATAGTTGACTCCCCCATTTCAGTTCTAGCCAATAGAGTCACTTTTTTAAACTGTTTTCAAACGAATTTGTGAGTAAGCCAATTGGAAACCTGTGGAAGACATGCATTTCTTATTGACGTTCTGATAACTAGAGAAAGGGTCACTTCCATATGAACTATTTATGACTTCCCATTCAGGCAGAGTATGAAGTGATGGAGATATTAGGCCGAGGTCTATTCTCGAGAAGGTGATGTTAGTGATGTTGTATTATGTTGGCTTTCACAGATTCACGAGGCATGTGCTGGAAGAAAAAAAAAGGAACTGTTCAATCAGGCGACATCGCGCATCGCTGCGAGAGTCACCCCAGAGGCTATGTATTTTAAAGTTCCCTAGGATAAGATAGGGTTCCGGTAGTTCGTCTATTAGAGGTTGGAATTCATGTTGTAAGGACGGTGTTGTGGAGATATGTATAGAGAGGACATGCTGACAAGCTTATACAAAACAACTGCTCAAACAGCCGCTGCCTCAAGGGATCTTTGTAGTGATAAGAGTGTGCATGCAATCCATTGATTGACTATAACGGCAACACAGCCGGATGACGCAACGGCGTCCTCCCAATGCTTTCGAAAAATAACCTGCTGACATAGAAAGTTAGATTTTTGGGGGGTTTAGGTGTGTTTTTGTACACACAGAACTATTGGTGTATGTTTGTATATAATTACCTGTACACCATCGAGGTTTCTCAGCAGTCCTTTGACATTTCACTGAAGTATTTGTGTCTGCATTTTGAAGTCGTTTGGTGCTGTGCGTGCAAAAAGTCTTGTCTCACATTACAGGACCATTTGGAGGCCCTGTAATGTTGGGTTTAAATTTTCTCGCGTGTTCCAAATAGTTGTGCCTATCCTTCGGCATCTGGGGCGCCGGAGGAGTGGTACTTCAGTTAACCTACCCTTGTGAGGTGGCAGATGGTGCCTGCTTGCAAGTAGCTTCACAGTGGCTTCAGACCTCACTTTGCCTGCAGTGGCCGAGGTACAGCAAGCTCTGAAGTCTGCAGACCATATTTACCAGGAGCCGGAGCATACAGACTTCTGCGGCCGGGGGCGCTGATGGCACGACCGCCGTCACACTCCGTGTGACACTCGCGCGTGCGGAAATGTGTGGCGCGGAGCTCCGGCGTGTCACATCGGCGAAGGAGGGATAAGAAGGGTTGTGTAGTGCAAAACGTTTAGGTGCCGCATGGAATTACAGATTCAATTTAACCTTGAATTGTACTATTTTTTTGTTTTTGTTTTCATTTTGGGCATGATCGTGGGTATTTGAGTGATATGTAGGGCTTAACGTCCCAAAGCCACCATATGAATATATAAGACATCGTAGCGGAGGGCTCCAGAAATTTTGACCACCTTGGGTTCTTTCACGTGCACCTAAATCGGAGCACACGGGCCTATAACATTTCCGCCTCTATCGGAAATGCAGCCGCCACAGCTGGGAGTTGATCCCGCGACCGGCGGGTCAGCAACCGAGTACCTTAGCCACTAGACCACCGCGGCAGAGCATGATCGTGAGTAGGCAGGGTGGTCACCTTCACAGTTTGAACAATGCGTTCTTTCTAAGGTGCAGTTGTCGAATATGTGTTGAATAGATGCACACTTTGCGCAAGTGGCGCGCCCACTGCAACTCTGTGATCCATGCTTGAAGCCTCGACATGTGAAACATCGGCGAGTATCGGGAATGTATGGTCTTGCATGGAGCTTGCAATAGCCGGTTTCAATTGTTTCTGGTGGTCACTGATCCCGATGGCAATTATTATGTGCTTGTTGGAGTCAGTTTTTTGTCGCACGTTACTGTTATTTGTTGAACTCTAAGTTCTGGTTTTGCAACCTTCGAGCAGTTTGCTTTCAGAAAGTTAAAAAAATTCATCGCCGGAAATTACGCCACGGGCAGTGTTAATTCAGCTGTCTGGGCCGACCGAAACAAAGGTTTCTCCCAACACTACAACTTTACAAAGCTTATCATATGGAGCTTTGTCACAAACCTCCAGCTGGAGAAGGAAGTTGCCACTTCCCATCTTTGTGACTTTATAACCAGGACCTATTGCTTCCGTGAGAGATTTCCACGCGAGAAAAGGTGAAATTGCACGTATTGTCATCTTATCGTTCTGGCTATGAATAACGTGGTACTTTTGGAAGGCCGATTTTTGTGTGTTGAGCATGAAGGTGACTTCGGGGCACCACCTTTTTAGGGAGCGATCAAGAAGGGGGGAGGGAGAATTTGCCGTAGATTATAAAGTTCGGCATAGATGCCAGCTGCTCACCACCGAGCCCAACCAGGGGACGTGGCAGGAGGTGCTGGCAAGTCCTGTCGACGCCAGTTGTACAGCGCGGCTATAATCTAAAATGGAATAGTCAAGACTGGGCATCTACGCAAGCTTAACTCTTGCCGCAAGCAAACTTGGAAGTAAACGGTAAGGAGAAGGTGACAGGACCGATGAAGAGTGTGAGAGAGAGACGAAGCTGTAAGGGGGAGAGACAGGAAAAGGGTCTGCCGATTTTTCCTGGCTGGGTTAGCCCAGGAGTTCCGTGTACGTTTAGCTGGGGCGAAAAGGGTGTGTTGCCTCTGTCGGGGGGCCTTAAAGCCCAAACACTCAGCAATGGCTCAAACCCCAGGATCTCCTTTTCCCCTGACACGGGGAAGCCACGCACGGCTAGGCGTGAGAGGGAGTAGAAACCCCTTTGTTGGATCAGGTCCATGATGTCACTACGCACCAAACGCCTACTTGCACAGACGCCCCTGCGAGGGTCCTTCGGAAATATTTGCCACTAACCAGGTTGAAAATACCTTGCCGCAAAGCTTCACGTCAATAATAGAGGTCAGCTCTACAGAAATCACCGTTAAGCATCATGAGTCCCAATAGGGTCGAAAGCAGAGAACGTATGCATGCCTAAAAGACATATCGTTAGAAGCGAAAATAAGAAATTGGTGTTAAATACCGGCAAGAAAGAATGACGCACACATCACTGCAGACGCATCAAAAAGTTTAAAACCGCAACTCATCACCAATGACATGAACGTTCATTTTTTGCGTCATAGCTGTTGGTAAACTTTTCACTAGAAAAAATGACCAACTACTGAGAACATCGCGAACGTTGGCGAAAACAACGTATAGCTTCAAAGGCTAGTAAGGGGACGAGGTGCACAACTGGTTCAAAAACTAAAAGGTGCATTTAGAAAACTACATTTTCGCGGCTTTGTTAACGTTTGTGTGTTCATGAACTCGCCAGAGTTAGTACTCTAACTTAGGCCGTGCTAAGGCATATATGTCTACAACCCAGCGTGTGAGTCTGGGGGTGACATGGTGACATAAAAAAACTGTAGCATAATGTGAAGCACATGATACAAAGTACGGGTTAGTGGCCTGTGGACTACTGTATGTCGTTCGATAGTTGCAACAACAGGGAAGAAACATGCAGTGTGTTTCACATCAGGGAGTAAACAATTTGATGGCGAAACGAAATATCTTTGATGAAACAAGTCTTGAATAGCATTTCAAAGCTATATACCAAGTGAAATTGCCTTGCCAAGTGCTTAACGGAAATATAATTTACAAGCATTGTCACAATGGTATTGCATTAAAAATGAGTAAGTAATATCCAGTAATTGAGTAATACAATCATGTTGCGGCAATATAAACCTAGTATTCAATTATAGCAAACAAAAATTGTTTGCTTTATCTAATAAATGCTGCCCATACGAAAAATCGAAATTACACCCGGTATTTTCTCAGCTGCGCGGCTTTATTCGTCTGCTTGAAAGAGCACAGCTGTGCTCGAACTATTTAGTTTCTACTCATTTGTTGCCAGTACTTACAAGACACTGTCTTCCAGGATTTGTCACTTGTTTTGTTTCATTGCATTCATGCTTGCAGCCAACTGTTGTCTGTTAAATATAAAAAAACATGACTGATGCGTTTCATAATAGTCGGTATAACACGAAAGTGTCTTCATGTCTTTATGGAGTAAGTTGATCACTTATATACTTTGATTCGCCACAATCGCAGGGACATGAATGCTAAATCATCAAAAACTTGTAGTAGAACAGAAAAAGTCTTCGTATTTGCAGTGCGGTCCTTTAGCGAAAAGCACACAGAAAAAGAACATACACAGAACATGCCCGGAAAACTGTCCCTGCCTGAACCTTGGGGCACTCTGCTGATACAGTGAAAAAGATACGCTAAAAAATCAAGTAAACGCAGCACAAGTGTGAACTGACAACTGTTACAATTGTTGTTTCACTTTTTGTGATTTAGCAGCACACTTCTTTCCTAAACACAGCCCCTGGAACGATCAGTGTGACTTTCGTGCTATGTGTACCCTAAGCTCAATACATGCGGTGAGTGCACCAGACCGCTTCCTTCACGAAATAAGTACACGCGTGAGGAACCCTAACCGACGTAAAACGCGCGCTTCTCACAGTGAAGTAGCGGACGACTCGCCTAGTGGTGACCGTCGTGCAGCACTCCTAGTGTCGTCATGCAATCTTTTTAGACGCCTTTGGATCTTGAAACAAAAATCATATTTATTTGATGAAGTATAATAAACGCTTTTACAGTTTTAGTGCTCAATATTGTGGCCTATCTCGGGCCGTGTAATTATTACGCGTGAATTGTGGAGTACAACCACTCATCTGGGTCGATCTATTGCAAAACAGTGTGGCTTCTTTGTGAAAAAAATTATAACAGCTTTGTTGGCTTTTCATCTCACGAAACAATATCGCTGCGCTACACAGTTTGAAAAAAGTCATAAAAACAACACGCGTGGTTTGTGTCGCAGGTCCCTTTTGAAGCTCTCCACGCACCGAATGCTACTTGCTAAATACAAAAACACGCTAAAACCGCCAAGCTCCAAGTAACAGCCACGGTACATAATTTTTGTAAATAGCTAGTTGTTAGTAAGCCGAAGAACGTATGCTCTGTGGCCGAGTCAATTGGTGCAACCCACTGCGGAGAGCGATCATGTATAGGCTCGATTTCCGGCGAAAGAGCTCTTCGGGGCGAAGCTCCTAATGTCGTGGGCTGTGCGTCCACAATGTACGTAGTAGTATTAGCATTTGTATTAGTAGCAGTAGTAGCATTACTAGTAGTAGTCGTTGTCGTAGTAGTAGTAGGTAGCCACCTCTCGTTTAGTCCTCGAAATGTCCACTGGGTGGCGCTATTTTGATAGGGTAAATATATATGATGAAAAGAAGCCCCATGGTAGTACATAGAGTGGTCGCTAGGTGGACGAACCCAAGGACGAACAGACAAACAGATGCGTGGACGAACGGTCGGACGGACGCATGGACGTACGCAGGGGAGCACGCATAAGTGGACGGACGCACGCACAAACAGACGGATGTACGCACAGACTGACGCACGGACCATCGCTGGACAGATGGATGGGTGGATGGAAAAGAACGAACGGATGGACGAAATCGCAGGCGAACTGACGAAAGCTTCGCCTCACTCATCATAATTAGGTCCATGCATATGCTGTAATTTTTTCTCATGGTTGTCGCTTTGCCATCTGTTATCGTAAATTCGGCAATTTCATAGCATGATGGATATACGTCACTCGAGGCGTGGTGGCCACTTCCATAAAAGAGTTGCGTGTTAAAAATACAAGACACCTGCTTTAAATGAAAGATGAAGATGGGACAAAGCAATGTTCATAGGATCAAGATTTTTGGCCTTTTATTTTGTTTTGGTGAACAGCCTTTTTGCAAGAAATTATTAATATTTCGGATGCAATTTCGCCCTTCTATCGCACAGTAGTAAGCAGAGTGCATATACCGTGCAGAATTGCAGGACTAAGTTTTTTGAGGATCGCGGATCTTTCTGTTTGTTCACACATTTTTGGCGTTGGCCCTTTGCCACTCTTCAGGTGTTTCTGTCCTCTCGTTCGTTCTTCTTCAGAGGCTTTTATTTTGTTCTTGTTAACCTTTTGCTATGTCGTAAGCTTTGAATGATGGTAGCAGAATGACGTTTTTAGAGCGTTGTTCTCTTTTTTGTTTTTTTAACCATATGCACGCTATGTGTCTTTGCATACGGTTTCTCTTGCTTATCTGCTTTGGGCTTCGACTGTACACAGCACTCAGATGAACCATAGAGCCAGGTGATCGTCATGGGGTCCTAGAAAGGTTCGGTTTTCAAACACGTTTTTTTGCTTAGATCGCCTCATAGTCCACTGCGGTTGATAGCTCATTTCAAGGCAAATTTCTTATCTTTCATCTATTCATAATACACGTAAAGTCGGCCATGCTTTGTATTATAAGTACGAATGCCATTGGTGTCTTGACGTGCAAAAGCATTTTTTATATCTCCCATGGACTTCTGAACTATTTATTTGTCAGCCTGATTAAGAGTAAACGTGCGCGAAAACGATGTGGAGGATCGTAGGCAGGCTGAAGCGCAGATGAACGGAAGCACGGACGGACCAATGGGCATATTTGTGTGCCAACTGGCCCGACCTCATTTTTGCGGGAATAGTTTCTGTATGTATGAGATAGACACGTGTATTGGTATGCATGAGTTCGAATGCGCTCCAAACACTTGGGTGCGATACCAATGTAACATCCCGGTGTTGTTTCGGAGTATTGAGTGGAGCGCGTAATCGATCGATTGCTGCAAGGGCCAAGGTTCCGTTTAGACGCAAAGCTGCTTAAGACGTGGGTCATGCGTCTTTCGTATATAGTAGCCACCTATGGTTCAGTCCTTGAAATGTCGGCTGGCGGGCAGTGCTTTTGTATGATGTATATATGATATAAAGGTGCGAGATGGGGGTAGTTGGGATGATAACTAGATGAACGGATGGACGGACGAATAGACATGCAGACAGACAGACGTATGGACGGACGGACGGACGGACGGATGGATGGACAGACAGACAGACAGACAGACAGACAGACAGACAGACGAAAACAGCCAGCGGATGATTCACGGTTTGCCGACAAAACACTTCGAAGCTTCGCTCCACTCGTCATCATGCACTCTGTTGATATGATGTGGTCTTTTTTCGTCATTGAAACAATGCCTGCCTCTTGCACTCTGAATTGAACAGTCCGACAAGCAAAAATGAAGGAAACAAATTCCACATAAATCTTGTTAATGTCATTTAAGTATGCCTAACTTTAGCCGGCAAGAGGAGTAAGGCATAACAGGCTGGTAGTGTGGCTCTTGAGGGTAGGAAATGATTCAAACTCCAACCAAAAGTACGTAAAGAAACCCGACGTTTCAGAGCAGAGTCTTCAAAGCACTCGTGGGGTGGTTATTGCCCCTCTGTCTGTCTCCCGTTTTGCCGTGAAGCGTAGTTCATGTGTATACACTGGGGGAATTGTCCCGAGGGACCGGTTGATGTTTCAGGCTGTTCTCTTTATATGCCACAACTCGAGTAGTAACCTTCTCCACCCGTTAGTCTCGCTTTAGAGGATTGTCGTTGCGTCAAATTTTTTTCGGTGGTCGAGTGTCTCGGCATTTTCGCGACTGCGCTGCGCTTTTTGTTGAGCTTCCGCACGTCGTTGGCGAGTTGTTTGAGTCACTAGAGTAGGTTTTTTGTTTTTTTGATATACGAAAAATGACACTCGGCACACGGGATTTTGTAAACAAAATCGTGGGTCCTGTCCTTTGTTGGCCGGTCTTTCAGACTGGAGATCAGGCGACCCAGCGTACACAAAAGCACTTGCGCGATGCGAATCCTTTTTTCAAATACCCACGCCAATATATCACTTGTATGGGACCGGTGCGCACTTCGGAGGGCTGCCAATTGATGCTGAGTGGGGTTTTCGCATACTCTGTTGCTCCGAACTGCAAGTAGTGGGTCGAATCAATTTTTTCTGGGATCAGAAACAACGCAGGCCTCTTATTTTTTCCGCTCCGTGTTATTGGATCATATGTTCTTGGTCACAATCAAGCAGGATTGCAGGCAGGATTGGATTATTCGTAACGAAGGTAGCGGCTGGTGCACGTTGGTCGTTGCGCTTTCTTGTCTCCTGGACGTCGAGAAAGGGCCTGCAGCTGTCGCTTTAACACTCGGCCCTGAATTCGCGCTTAATGCACCGAATTGAAATGCTGTCTAAAGTTTTCAAGTTCAGACGTCTTCATGATGCAAAAGCGATCACCCATGTAATGAAGAAAAAGCTTAGGTCATGTTGAGAAGGAGCTGAGTGTTTTCTCTTTTATGTGCTTCATGGTCACGTTTGCCATCGTTACAGAGCTGGAAGCTCCCTGCGTGGTTTCATTGTTTTGCCTGAATTTTTTTTGTAGGAAAAGTACGTGCTAGGCAGGCAGAATTCCAGTAGACGGCAGAGCTCGTCAATAGCCAAGGGAGTTCATTCACTCAGGCTTGCGTCACCGTAAAGCGCATCACGGGTAGACGACACAGCCAAGCGCAGTGGCAGATTGGTGAACAATGAAACGACGTCAAAGGAGACCAGGCTCTCGTCATTGTCGATACTCATTTCTGACGCTAGTTGCACGAAGTGGGTGCAGTCGCAGAAATGCGTTCATGTCTTCCAGGTTAGTGCGCCAAATATTCGGTGTGAAAAATTCGAAAGGGCTTGGCATGGAGAGGAAGTGAAGTCTAAAATCTGTCGAAGGGGGACGTCAGGCTCGTAAATTTTTGGTAGTTTATAGAAACCCAGTGGTGAACTCGTTACGGCAGATTAGTGGCAGGTAAAGTGTTCTTAGATCTAGGTAATGCTTGAAAGTTTCCGCAATGAGCTTCTTTAGCTATATCTGCATTTGCTTCGTCGAGTTCTTTCTTAGGTGTGTGTATGCGTCCCCTTCCAAAACTGTCGAAATTAGGGCTTGTTGGTGCATTGTGACGACAGAAAATAGCGCTAAGAAACGGGGACACAAGACAAGGACACACGGCACAGCGCCTGTGCCGTGTGTCCTCGTCTTGTGTCCCCGTTTCTTAGCGCTATTTTCAGTCATCCCTTCCAAAAGAGCTGCAATCTTCCAGTCGTCGTCCCCGCTGTCCAATACCACCGTCCAATTGCCCTTGTTGGTGGGCAAGATGACAATGTTCTGATTCCTTTGGAATTCTAGAAGTGTCTGGTTATCCAAAGTTTTTTGGTAACGGTAACTTCAAAAGGATCCTAATTGATTTCTGCTTAATTTCTTTTCTGGCACTCAGCCTCACACTCTCGACGGCTTCCTCTACAGCCGCGACAATTTCCGGTATACAGGGCGTCGTTGGTACGACATAGCCGTGCCCCTTTGCTAGAACAGAAGTTTCCCGATCATTGAGTGGACGAAGCGAAAGATTGGTGACAAGCCTGGTGTTTTGGATGCTTGAGGGTAACTCCAGTCCAAAAGGTAGGAAGGCCGGGCAGCATTTTGTAACATTCGTCTTCACTGTGTTAGCATATGTCATGTACAACAGCAAACAAAACGGTTCATTTTTATTATATTTGTTTATTCCTCTAGGGTCCACACTCACTACCTTATCTTGAAAAACTGAAAAAAAAAACACACACACACACACAGTTCCTGTTTTGGGCGCGTCGGCGTGAATACTCAATCTCGGCCTTTATTTTTCTACTACCAATAAAACTAATTGCACTTACCCGTCCAGCAGATGTCTCCCAGAATAAATTTATGCAAGGAGTAAAGCCAGCTACAAGAAAAAAATGTATTATCAGGATAGCGAAGAGACCGGCTTACGATGCATTTGATATATGGGGTTTAATGTTCCAAATACACCATATGATTACGAGACGCTGTAATTGTGGGCTCCGGAAATCTCGACCACCTAGGGTTCTTTAACATGCACCCAAATCTGAGCAATGGGCCTACAACACTTTCACCTCCATCGAAAATGCAGCTGCCGCCGCCGAGGTTCCATCCTGTGACCTGCGGGTCAGCAGCCGAGTACCTTAACCACTAGACCACCAAGACAGAACATGACGCATTTCTACGGTTCTTTTGCCATTATTTACGTTCAAGAACAAGATCGGAACATTTAACAACTCCCCGCTAATTATTTTTACGTGAAAGTGCTTTCTAAGTAAGCAAACATTAATTGCTTGGCACACTCACAGAAAGATATTCGTGGTATCTTAAACGAAAATTGCTCCTTGTAAAGAACTTTCAATATCGTTCCTTTCAATTATAGTAAGGTACGACCACCTCATTTTTACAGTTTCTTGAGTAGAAGAACTGAGGAGATAGAGCTTTGATGCAGGGTGGGCAAATAAGTAGCGTCCAAAAGTTAGTAGGCCTTAATTTTCAAGCAAATTAGTGCAGAAGAAATTATGAAATCAACAATATGGGCGGTGTCTTTAATACTTAGATTACCAATAATAAACTTTGTCGACACAAACTACGAAAATACATGCATAAAACATACTGCGGTGCACGATCGGAACTTTAAATAATGTTAATGCGTAAGCTTAAGTACACCGGTAGACAAAGGGAATAAATGTACGAATGGAGAGGTCCACGCAAGGGAACCGCGATACGATTTTCTCTATATCGTAGCCACCTAGTGATCGATAGTCGCGTGTGTCAAATAAACCAAATAGAGCCGAATACAGAGCAGATAAGAACGCAACTGCATCTAGAGTGCGCATACTAGATAAGGCTATTGCCGTAGGATAACTGGGAAGCACGCGCGTTATCCTCCTTCGTGGCCCTACTACACTGTGAACTACGTTACTGGACGATCATCAAGTGAATAAGGTGCGAGCGCGGGATTGTACTCACTTAATAAATTCAAATTCCTTCGCGAAGTACACCCATTTGGAGCGTTTTCATGTATGTATCTATCAGCAGCCCACGTTCGGGTACTCTCAAGGTGGTCTGCTTATTATCGTGATATTTAGAATTGGTATTGGAGGACATGAAGGTTTGTGCAATATGTCTGGCTGATCATAACCATAACTCGCGCTCGTCCTCAAACCGTTTAATCTAGGTGCGTTTCACTTATACCCGAATACCACAGGCCACAAATAGCGGATGCGTCACTGGTCATCTGCCGAGTAGCAGATTGCACAATGATGATAAGATAACTGTGAGAGGGTTAAGAAAAACTGGCAGCGGGAGGGCTGGACCAACCAGTACTAATATTACCAAGGCACAGCTTAGCAGGAATCAAGCTCAAGCGGTTTTCGTGGCTGTCAGATATTCTACGAATGTTGGTGAAACTTCAATCGTGGTGCAGTGCTCTCTGTCTAAAGTTATAAACTTTATACAATCTCATGGCCAACGTTAGCCCTAGGTTTAGGGTTAGGATAGGTCAGGTGCAGGGATTGCAGAAGTGATTAAAGAGGCTCCTCATACAAAGCCGACCTGGTGATGGGTCCCGTCTATCGATCTGGCTCTTATTACAATGGTGCAGTTTACGAAACCTAAACTGTCTGGCTGAAGCCCTCTGGCTTCGTTGGAAATCGGCCGCGGGCTTTCTGTTTTCATAGAATGCAGGTTCCCGCTTCCACGCTTATGGACACCAGAATTCTAATATGACCGATTGGACCTGTGCCACCATTTTACGATGGCATCCAAGCTTGCGCGGTAGCATAAGCGCCGGTTTACCCCGTCTTGTGTCTTGCTGCCGGGGAATGTTGATCACGCTTCACGTTTGACAACCTCTGGCTCAGGACTTCATAGATGCACGAAGGTTGTTGTTCAATTTTTATTGAACTAACTTCCGAACGCAGTGAGCACAGTAGCCACATCGTACACCTCGGATCTCACCATTGACTCTATGTGCCACTTGCAAGAAAGGTCCGCCGAGCTTTCCCTAACCATTTTCCGATTCCCCATCAGGGTGAGCACTTTAACGGCGTCGACCTCGGTGCGATTCCTGCGAATGAGCCTGAATAATGCGCCATTGATGTCAAGTAGGAAGTAGCTGCCTCACACGACCTTGTGACCAGTTCACCTGAGCAACGCAGAGCACTCCGTTTTACCCTCATGCAGCTCTCACGCCAGCTGGGCTGCTTCACGTCAACATTTTCACCTGCTATTCCACCATCGCCAGGCGCCTGCGAAATACCAGAATTCTACGGCTTTCACGACACCGTCGATAACTGGGTAGTGATCTACAGCTCTCTCGCGGCTAAGGAGGCATGAACAAAACAGCGAAAAAGAATTGTGGCCCTAAACAGTCTTCTCGATGGGTCCAAACCCCGGCATACACACGATGGCATCCGGCAGGAGTACTGGGTTAAGTGGAGCTTCAAGATCACCGCCGCTTTCGACTGCAATTCCTCGCACCACTCTGCCACCAGCGAGTCTAACCTGACTGCTACGAAGAATGGAGTTCAGGAGTGGTTTCGCCTGGAGGCTGCAATTGTGTGCTGTAGTTCAAGAATGAAGATTTCCGACTTGTTGTCAGCATGTGGCTCAAGTTTACCGATACCAAAAACATTACCCAACCGCACCTGTTCACAGGTTGCAAGGAGGCCAATCAAGCAGTCAGTGCCACAACTGCAGATTTCGCAGCAGCTATTGCCCGAGTGCGTTAGCTCTATCGATGCACCCCCCCCCCCCGGTAGAGAGACCTTGTATTGAACATTCGAATGGCATGTTGTGCGTGCTTCTCAATGACAACAATCGCATCATTCCAGCTTACAGCAAACCACCTGAATGCCACGTGTTGAACTACAAAGCCATTCTAGTCATCATAGAAATAACTACTGATTGTTCGGACAAAGAGCGGCTCAGCCAAAGCAATGAGGCGTCATCGAACAACTTCAAAGAGTTCGGCATGAAATTCAACAATGAGTTCGCCAATGCATACAGGCACTGTAAGGATCGTACAACAAGGAAGACTGATAACAGACAGAGAGTTGGGGCGGCGTGGCATGATGATGATCACGTCCCTCAGTCAATCTAAGCTGCGCAACGCAATTGCGCAACGCAACGCACTCAATCAACTGCGCAACGCAACGCACTTGCGCAACGCAATTGTGCGTTGCGCAAGTATTTTCAGGCTCGACATAAGTTTCGCCTAAATTTGAGACGACCACTGCAGTCACACCAAGTGTCGCTCATCAAACATACTTCTGAGCGATTTTCAAACTCAGAGTTGTAACGACAACCACCGACAGGCAGCTAGTTTTTACTCCTGAGGCATTGCAGGGGAAGGTGAAGGTGCAGAATCTGCACACTCCTTCAAGATGAGGCCAGACATACGCCAGTGTAACCTGTAATGACCACAACCACCTCTAGAGAAACTATATTTTGCGGGCAGGCATGTACACTTGCAGTGTAGCAAATGTGATGGCCAAGAATAGCTCTGAGGCTTGGTCTTGGCTAGGCCGAAAACGTTCAAGGCAGAAGAAGAAAAAGACTTGAATAGAGTACCTAACTTAGGAACGGGTGCGGCCTCTCATTTTTATCTCCTTATAATATATGCTTTTATGGTGCAGGCTTGTGATTGGGTTAACTAATATTGTTGATAGTGCCATCCACTGCCGCTTTTCTACGTAACTCTTGCCAAGCGTACCATCCACGCAAGCACAATCGCTGCATACCCGCTTACTGGTTCTGGCGTTATAATACCCATGCAGCTATTGGGATCATTACGTAGATCTACATAACTGATTACAAAAGGCATGTGACAGTTTAGCTGATCTGTATGCATGCATGCAACATTTGTGCGTAGCTTTTACAACACTTCGCAACGTTTTGCTAGATAAAAATAATATACCACAGCCACCTTCCCTTCCTAGGCATTTCATCACATCAATTTCCAAAATACGAGGAATCAAATTTTTTTTCGATTTTTTTACTTATGCTTAGTATTAAAGAAAGCGTGCATGATATGGTCTTTCAGGTCATGAGACCATGTAATTTCTAAATTTTGCAGACCTGGCACACACTGATTGATTTGTGGAGTTTAACGTCCCGAAACCATCATATGATTGTGAGAGACGCTGTATTAGAGGGCTCCGTAACTGACCACCAGAGGTTCTTTAACGAACATGCGCCCAAACTTAGGCACACGGGCGTACAAAATTTCCGCCTCCATCGGAAATGCAGCTGCCACAGCCGGGATTCGATCCCGTGACCTGCGGGGCGTGGCACACATTGAAACAAAAACATCTAAAGCTTGCACCTTAAAACAAGCGACCAGTCACTTTGCTCACCTGCTATTTCATAAACGCTTGCATGTCGCAATTGAATTACCCAGGGTTAACATTACTTGATACCCTGAATGTGGGCTACCAAACCACTTGGGCCAATGCAACATTCGAATGAGGGCCCCAGCCGTGCTCAGCCATTTTTTGCAAAAAAAGGTCTCTCTCACTCTCCATGTCTGGCAATTAAGATCACACCCCCAATCGCCAATTTCGAATAATGGGGATTACACACTTTGTTCTGTATTTGTGCAGCGCATATGGGCCACAACTACAAAGGTTTATGAATTGTTAACCAGGTGACATCTCGTTGCCCACAATCTTTCACTACTGACCCAGCTTAAATAATGCTATTTTCGTTAGCTATATTTTTAACAAGCATGTATATTACCTACGCACACGTTCATGGCTTTGAGGAATGATTTTGTGAGGCAGCACTTAAGGCCATTATGTGTTGAATCATGCCATACAAATTCTTGTTTGCAATTAGCGTAACAATTACAGCTGCTATGCGGCTCGGCGTTGATGTCCA